AATCATTTTCTTATGTGCCAGATATGACAGCAGCGAGTGGAGAATTTTTCTCCCTGATTTCCATTGACTACAGTATTGCTAGGACTCCTTGACACCTCAGTTGGTCAAATGCAGCCTTAGTGATGAGTGTTGTCATTCTTACCTCACCTCTGTAATTCAGCTCTTTTGTCCATGTTTGAACCAGCTGCAGCAGGTAGTAAAGAAGGAAAACTGTATGTTCGCCTTCATAGTAATAGGATTTGAGTACAGGACCAAAGATGCTTTGCTGCAATTACATAAGGTGGGGCCACACAAATAATATTGTGTGCAGTTTTGGTCTCCTTATCTGAGGAAGAATGTTCTTGCTATAGTGGGAGTGCAGCGTAGGTTTACCAAATTGATTCCAGGTATGGCAGAAATGACCTATAAGGAGAGATTGAGTTGGTTAGGATTGCATTCACTCTGGTTTGAAGAATGAGGCGTATCTATATAAACCTATATAAATCTAACAGGACTACACAGGGTAGATGCAGAAAGGATGTGCCCAATCAGGGAGGAGTCCAGAACCTGCGGTCATAGTTTAAGGATAAGGGGGTAAACCTTTTAGGACTGAGATGAGGAGAAATTTCTTCACCCAGAGAGTTGTGACCCAATGGAATTCACTACCACAGAAAATAGTTGAGGCCAATACATTTTGTGTTTCCTTCAAAAAAGAGTAGATATAGCTCTTAGGCTAAAGAGATAAGAACAAAGAATGAAGAGCAAAGAAAATTACAGTACAGGAACAGGCCCTTCGACCCTCCAAGCCTGCGCTGATCCAGATCCTCTTTCTAAATCTGTCGCCTATTTTCCAAGGATCTGTATACCTCTGCTCCCTGCCCATTCATGTATCTGTCTAGATACATCTTAAATGACGCTATCGTGCCTGCCTCTACCACCTCCGCTGGCAATGCGTTCCAGGCACCCACCACCCTCTGCGTAAAGAACTTTCCACGCATATCTCCCTTAAACTTTTCCCCTCTCACTTTGAAATCGTGACCCCTAGTAATTCAGTCCCCCACTCTGGGAAAAAGCTTTTTGCTATTCTCCCTCTCTATACCTCTCATGATTTTGTAGACCTCAATCAGGTCCCCTCTCAACCTCCGTCTTTCTATTGTAAATAATCCTAATCTACTCAACTTCTCTTCATAGCTAGCGCCCTCCATATCAGGCAACATCCTGGTGAACCTCCTCTGCCCCCTCTCCAAAACATCCACATCCTTTTGGTAATGTGGCGACCAGAACTGTACGCAGTATTCCAAATGTGGTTGAACCAAAGACCTATACAACTGTAACATGACCTGTCAACTCTTGTACTCAATACCCAGAGATGTAAGGGGGATGGTAGGATTAGGCTATTGAGCTCAATGATCAGCCATGATCATAATGAATGGAGGAGCAGGCTTGAGGGATTGAATGGCCTACTCCTGCTCCTATCTCCTATGTTTCTATCTAACCGAAGTGTAATGAGGTAAGAAACTGAGTGACCCTGGTGGAACCCAAATTGGGTGCCATTGAGTAAATTATTGCTGAGCCAGTGCTGCTTGATAGCACACCTTCCATCACTTTGTTCATGATTGAGAGTAGACTGATGGAGCAGTGATTGGCTGGGTTGGTTTTGACCTGCTTTTTGTATACAAGATAAAGCTGGGCAATTTTCCACTTTGTTGAGTATCTGCCAGCATTCTAGCTGTACTGGAACAGCTTGGCTAGGATGCAGCAAGTTCTGGAGCACAAGTCTTCAGTACTATTGTCAGAATTGTTGTCAGGACGCATAGCTTTTGCAGTACCCTGTGCTTTGATCATTTCTTGATGTCAGGTGGAGCATTCAAATTGGCTAAAGACCAGTATCAGTGATAGTGAGGACCACTGGAGGTGGTTGAGATGAATTCAAATTGTTGTAAATGCTTCAGCCATATCTTTTCCATTGATCTGCTGTGCTCTCTCAATGTTGAGGATGGGCTTACTTATGGAGCCTCCTCCTCAAATTTGTTGTTTAATTGTCTACCACCATTCATGACTGGATGTGGCAGGACTGTAGAGCTTAGACCTGATCTGTTATTTGTGAGATTATTTTGCTTTGTCTATCACTTGCTGGTTATGTTGTTTAGCACACAAATAGTCTTGTTTCTATACCTTCACCAGATTGACACCTTATTTTTTGGTATAGCCGTGGGGCTTCTGCTGGCATGTTCTCCTGCACTGTCCATTGATCCAGGGTTGATCTCCTGGCTTGATGGTGGTCGTAGAATGGGGATGCTAAGCCATGAGGTTGTAGATTGTGTTGGAGTACAATTCTGCGGTTGCTAATGGCTCACTGGATTGAGTCTCAGTTATTGAGAGTGTTGGGAAATGGGATGAAATCTTTTTTGCAGAAATTCTGAAGTTGGGAGAAGTTTTGAGTTTTGAAGAAGGGTCACCGGACCCAAAATGTTAACTCTGATTTCTCTTCACAGGTCCTGACAGACCTGCTGAGTTTTTCCAGCAATTTCTCTTTTTCTGTTTTTGTTTCTGATTTCTAGTATCCACAGTTCTTTTGGCTTTTTGAAACTTTGTTTTACTGTGTGACTTAAGATCATTCTAATTGTCTATGTTTTAATTTATTCTTTTGTGTAATAAACATCTGTTCTGTTGAAGAAAATCTGCAGCTGACAAACCATCAAGTTAACTAACTAGATCAAGAAAAGTTATCAGCTAGTTTGTATTCTGGGATCTGTTTGTCCAGTCATACCATCAGTTAGGAAAATAGCAATACAAATAACAGAAAGAAATATTCAAATCTTTAACCCTATACCAAGCTTACAGGCACTCATCTCAGGGAAGTTACTTCCCTCTCCGTGCAAAAGCTTATCCAATCAAATGTCTGGGGGAAGCGTGTTGGAGAGGCCTTCAATATTGCTCAGGAACCAATCCTGAGTTCTTACTGCGTTGAGCCCTCTCAAAGCGACACCATGGTTCAACTGAAAAAACCAATCAAGAGACTGTCTCTGGGCAAAACTGTGCAGAACATGTGCTCATGATGTTCATATTTCCAGCAGCCACTTCACTCAACATTTCAGAAACAACTAACTCCAGTAACTCATTTTTCAAACTGCAACATCTACTTCCACAGTTTCTTAGTTTAAATTCGTTGGTATTATTTCTCCATACTTTTATTTATAGTTAAAAAAGGTGGCCTTTACACATACTGCTGTTACACTCTGATATCTTTATTCATCTTTATTCACCAGTGGAAAACCTGTTCATGAGACAGGTTCAAACCTTGTAAAGCCATCACACTTGAACTTCTTAGGAATAGAAGAGAAACTTCCCATAAACAAGAGAGAATAAAGATTGATACATAACCAGTATGCAGATGTGGAACAGCTTACTCTGCACATAGACCACAGGGTTCAGGCCATGCATCCTACCCAGGAAATCTGATAACCCCAAGAAGTCAAAAATCACATGACATCAGGTTATAGTCCAACAGGTTTATGTGAAATCACAAGCTTTC